TCTCAGAAGTTGTGACAAATGTTTGTGAGATACAAAAACATCCCTTAATTATATATATATATAGCATCTAAAAGATATTGAAAAACATCTCAAATTATGAAATAAGTAGGGTTTTAATTCATGTGTCTGTTAAAGATAGAGCATCTAAAATCAAGATCTTTGATACTGCTTTTGTACAATTTGAGGACCCTTTTTCAATCACAAGCCTTTTAAAAAGGATTAAAAATAAATTAAAGAGAAGTTCATAATCAATTTTGTATAAGTACCCACCCCCCATCAACTACAGTATAAGGAATTACCAGGATAAACATCATTTTTGGTCTTCTCTTGAGAAGTAATATTACTTTTACTATTTCTCTACAGCTCATCTATCTTATTATTGTAAATTAAAATTTGAATAACCATGTTTTGGATAATATGTGAAGAAAAGAAGAGGAGGAGAGAAAGGACAGTTGAGTAAATCTTCATAGATATTGGGACATTTGGGACTAGTATCCTAAGGAATTACAAAGTTGAATCAGGAGTCAGGATGATGTGGAGTCAATTTTATCAATTTTATCATTGGTAAATACAACTTGAATCTCCAGCTATACTCCCTTGCAAGTGTGCATCTTAGGAAAACAAAATCCATTGCAGAGTCTGGTGCTACAGAGAAGACCCATATACCCAGAATTGATGCCTTACATCCCTCAGTCTCCAGAAATGAGGAGAGATGCAGGAGTCCAGGCTTAAATCTAGAGGTCAAATATGAGCTTAGACCTTAGTGTTCTCACCCTTTGGGGGGTGGGTAGAGAAAGATCAAGCACACATCCATCCTACGGACAGGCAATACAAACAAAACACTGAGATCACTTGTTCCAATTCATCTCCCAATATTACTAGTCACTTAAACCATAGGAAGGAGTTAGTGGGAGAATTAACAGGACAGAGTTTACTACCTTTCCCAGTGTATCCAGAAGGTCCAAACCTATGGGTTCAGGCAGGAAGAGTGGGGTAAAAAGCCAGTCATAACCCAAACCATACCAAGAGAAACCAGGTGGTACCAGACCACAAAGCAAGGTGCATTATAGGAGAGGAATTACAAAATTAGGAAACTCTGTTCTTATATACCACTGCTGGTAATATAAGACCTGCTCATCCTCGCTCCATTGGGAGAAACCCTATTTCTACTCTGAAATTAAGAAAATCTTCTCCAGATAGGGAAAGACAAGTCTTTATTCACCACCTTGGACCATCTCTGGGGAGGAAGACATCTCTAAGTTTTACCATCCTGATATGTCTGCTTAAACAAACATCCTCAAACGTCATGGCGGCAAAGGCCTTTGCCAAGAGGAACTAATTGTGCAGAAATGTGAAATATTTATAGAGAATCTGTGTACCAAATAATGTCTCTTCAATAGTCATGAAGTGAAAAATACAGGAAATAAATGGACAAAAGAAATACAATTGTAATAATAAAGGTTAATTCAGCTAAAAAAAACATTGTCAAGCTATTTCCCAAAGTGGTTGCAACATTGTACATTTCTCCCAGCAATGTATGAGTGTTCAAGTTGCTCATATCCTCACCAACACTTGATATTGTCAGACTTTTTAACTACAGTCATCATAATGGGTATGCAGGGGTTTTTGTTGTAGTCATAAATTGCATTTTACTGACAGTTAATAACTTTATCATCTTTTTATGGGATTATTTGCAAGTTGCATAGGTTATTTTATAAAGTAT